GTGTGTGTTTTAATAATTTTATATTTTAAGAAGTGGCTTAAGAACACTCCATTGCACATGTCCTAAGTTTCTCGAACGTTTCGACCTCAACATCTATTCTCCAAGTGTTCGACCTCTAGATATCAAACATTGGCTTGAAACTGCACTAGATTCTGGCTGCCTACGTGAGCTGGAGTTTGTTTACACTGCTTATGCTTATGCGTATGAATACGACTACAACTCAAACAACCTAGTGCCATCTAGTTTGTATAACGGCCAATGGCTTGTGAGTTTGAAACTAGAAGGAGACATCGTACTTGAATGTTCCTCCGAGTAGTGTGGCTCGTCTTGGTTCTCTGAAAACTCTGCATCTTCGAGTCTTGAAAGGATTAAATGGAGCATCACTTCGACGGCTTCTAGCTGTTTGCCCTGTTGTTGAAGACCTATTGGTGCATTGTGCTAGGAATTATGTCAATGATGGGATTGATCACTGTGGATGCCCCAACTTTGCAGAGTTTAGCCTTTTATATACCTGCTGGTACAAGTTACCGTCTCTTTGAAAAGTTGGTCATCAAGACTCCCTCATTGAAGCATTTTACACTTGAGGATCTAGATATATGGGGACACTCGTGTTTGATTGATCATATGCCCAACTTGGAGGATGCATATGTAGATGTTCGGTACAGAGATATTTCGAGACATATAGGATCAATCACATCTGTCAAGGCTCTTGCTATATGTTCAGAGGTAAATCTCTGTCAACTGTAAATCTTCACAATCTCATATAAAATTTATATACTACCATATGTTAATATTTTTTTCACCGTATGCATATGCAGATTGTGTATAATGAAGGGTTTGTCTTCAAACATCTTGAACAATTGAAACTATGTGTATGCACAGAGAATTCTTCTAAGCTCCTTGTCCGCTTGCTTGACGATTCTCCCAACTTACGTGTGCTGGACATCTACGAAATGGTAAGTTTCTTCCAAAAAAAGTTGTTTTCGTCTACTGCAACTGCAGACAATATGGTTTTAACTTCATTCTGATGCATGTTCCAGGATCATTATGATGAGCAGGAAGATTCACTAAGTTCTATTGATCACCGTGTTCTTAAGGCTTTACGAGGTTATAACTGGTCAAGGTACTTTCTAAAAAGAAGACCACAAGACGATCTTGCCATTTACATAGTTGGGAAACGCTGGTTGCTTCCAAAAGGCGTCTGATGCATTGCATGTTCTTAAATCCATCTTCTGATTGTAGCAGAAATCTTCACACATCATGAGTCTACATGTTCTGTTTGGTGTTCTATTGAGTCTACATTGAACAGATATAATATCTGATGATGTCTGTTTGTGTGAGTCTACAATATTGAGTCTTCAAACTGTGGTGTGGTATTGTACTTCTGGTTTAGCTCCTTCCATTGAGAATAGTTGTGTACTCCGTAAGCAAATGCTTTTCTCTATTTTGCATTCCCTTCTCGATCCTCTTGTTGTTGGCAACTGAAAGCGATGTGAGACTCTTTAGAAGATGTATGCTTGTTAGGGTTTAGGGTTTAGGGTCTATAATATTTTGAACCTGATATTGTCTGTCCCTAATTCGAATATTCAATGTATTGAACAATGTTTGAATCCAACAAAATCGCTAAAATTGATCTGGTCCGGTGAGAGTTGTAAACTTCCCACAATGTTCTACTCCAATCTGAAGCCATCACAAGCTGCCTTTCTAATTGTACATTAGCCTTTCTCTCCAGCTCTTCCATGTTGGTAATTCGTTCCCTTTCAACTTCCCTTAATCTCTGAAAAATCCAAAACAACCAAATCAAAGCTATGAAAACTCCACTAGAGTCTTCAGTACAAAGGAATGAGCCTGATTAAGAAGATCAATTACACAACAACCAAATAACATTTGTCTCAAAGTAATCTTCTTGCAACATACCCACAAAAAAATATTCAAAATTCCTAATTGCTTATTACGTATTAAGCTTTCAAGTTCGAAAAGAGAAACCTAGACGAAAGAGGATAGAGCTACTGTTGGAATTGAATCCGCATAAAAGAAAGTGAAATCAATG